ACTACAGGGACATAGCCACATCAATGTTTATAGCAGCACAAGTCACAATAGCTAAATTGTGGAGCCAACCTAGATGTCCTTCAGTGGATGAGTGGATTAAAAAAATGTGGCACAATGGAATTTTACTCAGCAATAAAAGAGAATAAAAGCATGGCATTTGCAGGTAAATGGATGACTTTGGAGAAGATAATGCTAAGTGAAGTTAGCCAATCCCAAAAACACAAATGCCGAATGTTTTTTCTGATATAAGGAGGCTGACTCATAGTGGGGTAGGGAGGGAGAGCATGGGAGAAATAGATGAATTCTAGATAGGAAAGGGAGGGGCAGGGGATTAGCAAGAATGGTACAATATGATAGACATCATTATCCAAAGTACATGTATGAAGACATGAATTGATGTCAACATACTTTATATACAAACAGAGGTATGAAAAATTGTTCTATATGTGTAATAAGAATAACGATGCATTCCGCTGTCATGTATTTAAAAAAATAAAACCAATAAAAAGAAAGAAAAAAGAAACATTCAGACGCCATGACAAGTAAGAAGACTGTCAGATATTTTGCAGCCACATAGTCCTGTGCAGAGTCAAATCCTGATATTAGTCAGCCTTACAGCTTTGATGAACATCACCAACAGGAAGCCACTAAAGGCTTTATCAGTGCTATATTTGGTCCTGGTTTAGCCCTTACTTAGAGAACCCTATGCTGTATTGATCTTCTTACCTCAGAAATGATATAACTACCCCTGGGGAAGTGAAAATATACAGAGCTCTGTGAGCTAAGCTTAGTTCCTGGATTTATGTCTGCAGGATATGAAATCCTAAATAGATAAGGAAGTTCAAGATGTATTTTCATCAAAAATATGGGAAGAATTAAGTCCCTAGCAATCATACTGGATATCTGCACACACACACACACACACACACACACACACGCGCGCGCGCGAAAGACAACATAGTACAGTTTTTAACCTATTTAAAATCCAAATATACTTGACCCAAAGCCCACATATGTCCTACAAACTTCAATGGATATAATAGCATTCCATACAAGAGAGATTATTAAGGCTAAGAACCTCTTCTTGACGTGAAGAAGTGATCCCATAGTGAGGAGTGATTCTATAGCGAGGTTCTGACTTAGTTACATGAAATAACTTTAAGCATGACATGACAGAAACATATTAAAGATAGAATTTTGCTGAGTTCAATAAATAAACAAATTATAGTTTAAAAGTTACTATTAAGGCTCCTAAAGCAATACAGTTTAATGTAGTGTCAAATCAGATACTTTTGAACCAAACCGGAAACTCTGATTTAACAAAAATTTACACAATTAAAAAAAAGACTTAAATGGTATTTGTGATATTCTTTCTGTAATTTTATTTATGCTAAGTCATTTTTAAAAAGCAAAGTAGATGATAGTGATATATTTATCTTCTATCATAATTCAAATAAATGTAATTTTTAATCCAAAAGTTTCTAAATGGCAAACTTCCAATTTCCACATTCTTTTCCAGAAAATCCATTTGGACAAAATATCTGGCGTCCTAAACACTGTTTTAACTTTGATAATGTAGAAGCTAGACTGTAACTTAGAGAAGGATGATATAAGAAAGGAAAAGTGAGAAAAGAGTAGGCATCCCTACTACATAGATGTATTCATTTTATAAAGCAACAAATCAGTAAATTATGTTAAAAGAATTGAGCTTGAGTTGGGAGCAATAGAACATATCTATAATCCCAAAAACTCAGGAGGTGGAGACACAAGGATTACAAATTCAAGGCCAGCCTCAGGAACTTAGCGAGACCCTCTCTCAAAAAAATAAAAAATAAAAAAACTGGGGATATAGTTCAGTGGCACAGCTCCCTTGAGCTCAATCCATAGTACTAAATAATAATAATAATAATAATAATAAAATTTTAGGATATTATTTAAAATTACAAAAGTTGATAAAAACTAAAAATAACATAATTTTCAAACTTAATCATGGAAGACAGGTATATAGGAGTAATGTGAATTACTAAACTCACTTATTAACAGGAATTCTATAGATATGATCTATTGATTATGGAAGCATAAAGGAATAAGCATGTTATCTAAAGTTATCATGATAATCTTCAAAAAGATTTGTAGAAAGCAAAAGATGTTGCTATTTTGGAGAGAATAATTAGAAATGAAGAAGAGTGTGTGAGAAACTTACTATCCATTTTAAGATCATCATTATTATTTGTTATTTTCCATATTCAGGTGTTACTTTTAAATACAAAATTTATAAATAAAATATTGCTTCATATTCATACTGCTGTTACTTATTAATAAATAATTATAAAAACCTTAGATGTGATTATAGGTAACTGCAAAAGAAAGAATTTCAGAATATTTTAATCATAAATCTCTGCAATACAATAATAAAGATTATCTTTACTCTGAAAAGCTCAACATTTTCCAGTTCATTAACATTTTTCCAATGAAATAGGTTCATGACAGAAAACATTATTCTTATTTAACACCTGACAACACATTCATTGGTATAATAGGAAACGAAACAAAGAAAATTACTTCCAGGCATTACCAGGTGCATCTACTATATGACAACAAGTCACATAGTTTAATTTATTTTTATACCTTTACTTTATTTATTTATTTTTATGTAGTGCTGAGGATCAAACCCAGCACCTTGCACTGCTAGGCGAGCACTCTACCACTGAGCCACAACTCCAGCCCCCACCTAGTTTAATTTTTAGGGCCTTACTTTTCCCTTCTGCTAAATAAGAGTTAGAAACAAGGTCTTGAAATTTCTTCAGGCTCAACACACATGATCTTCAACAAAACAGGTCATTTGATATAATCAGAATCAAAATTTTCAGCAACTGGAAATATATTCTCTAGCATTCTGCAGAAAGGAAAGCAGGTTCTCAGGAAACTGAGAGGGAGGTTGAAGAGAATAAGGTGAGATGGATGCAGAGCTAGAACCCGAATGCGCCTGTGTCTGTGCTGTCTTAGTTGACTGGGTACCACAGCAACTACCATTCACGGGGTGGCTTACTTAGTAGAAATTGACACTCTCACATTTCTGAAGGCTGGAAATCCAAGATCTGGGTGTCAGCACAGCTGGGTTCTGCTGAGGGCTCTTCCTGACTTGCTGTCAGCAGCCTTCTCAGTGTGTGTTTATTCTGTCTTTCCTTGTGTGGGGGGGTTGGGGTGTGGTTAGGGGGCATGTAGAGAAAGAGAAAGAAACAATCTTTTCCTCTGCTTTTAAGGCCACCAATCCTACTAGATTAAGTCCCCACCTGAGTGACCTCATTTAACCCTCATGACCTTCCAAAATCTAGATATCCAAGTAGTCACATTGCAGGTTAGGACTTCAACATACTAACTTGGGGAGGGGGGAAGAAAATTCAGTACATAGCATCTTCTTTCATAAAATGGGTGACAACTTTTTCACGTCTCTCCTGCCTGACAACATGACACAACTCTGTTCCTATATGTCAACATTTCAATTTGAGGAAATTAGTACTTCAAATAAATAAAAAAAAACAAATATTACACAATTTAATATCATTTCTCATTTCTCATCGATGATTTAAGAGATTAGACAATCATGCTAAGTCAAATAAGCCAATCCCAAAATACCAAAGGTCGAATGTTCTCTCTGATATATGGATATTAACCCACAGCAAACAGAGAGAGGGGAAAAACAGAAGTACTGTGGATTAGATAAAGGGGAATGAAGGGAAAGGAGGGGTAAAAGAAATAGGAAAGACAGTGTAATGAATCTGACACAACTTTCCTATGTGCACATATGAACACACCACCAGTGAATCTCCACATCAAATACAACCATAAGACTGGAATCCTAATTAGAATAAGATATATTCCATGTTTGTATAAATGTATCAAAATAGTTTTGTCTGTCATGTATAACTAAAAAGAACAAAAAAAAATTTAATATTAACAGCATAAAAATTTGAACATGATATAGTTCACATTTTCTCAACATTAAAGTTTAAATTCAAAGACACAAACACAAAGGTGCTAAGTTATCACACAGTGACCTTCCATACACATTTGTCATCAGTTGTTCCAATCAGACTGCTTGCGTAGTCTTCTTATAACAAAATTCCAAAGTGAAAAACTACAGACTCGTATTCATTAAAGCTAATGGACTTCTAGGACTGAGGATATAATTGAGTGGTAGAGCATGTGCCTAGAGACCCTGGGTTCAATCCCCCACACTACAAGGAAAAGAAAAAAATATTTAATATTATGTTTTTTCTAGAGATAAAATGATTTGATCTGAGTTCAACACTTTCTTTGCAGTCCAGTTTGATGGAAAGCCTGCCTTTTGAACTGTGAGAAACAAATAATCCAGTCAATGACTGGGTGAGGTGAATGTGGTTCAATTCAGACTTAAGAAAAAAAGCTTGTTCACTAAAAATGAAAAATCATGTGGAGTTATGTAAATTCAGAAATAAGGAACTGAGGGTGGCAAATACAGTTTTGGAGGAAATTGCTACCTAATTACAACTTGCCTAGAAATGGGAAGAGATGCACAAAACCCACGAAGTTTTAGACAACATAATTGTTTAGTCAAAAAGAAGAAAAAATTCTAGCAAAGAGTACACACTATAGATCAAGTAGAAAATGCTTTAGAGTAGGTTTTAGAGACAAAGGCCAAAGACTTGGGGTTCACATTACTCCACGCGATAATTAGAGAGGTGACAGTGAAGTATCCATCAAACTTCTCCTCATCCTCCCCGGCCCCAAAACCACCCTCCTTGGCTAAGTCAGGCAGTACCTCTTTGGGACCCAGAGCACCAGGGTAGATACCTTTATTATAACCTTTATTCATTGCTGTTGGTATTTCTCAAAATATGATTCTCACACTTTCTGCATAATACAAACCACCATTATTCTTCAACACCCCTAATCCCCATGTGCTTATGTTAAAATGCATATTCTGGGCGGAAAATGTAGCTCAGTAATAGATCACTTACCTAACATGTGTGAGGTCCTGAGCTCAATCCCCAATACTGGAAAAAAAAAAGAAAGAAAACATGCTGATTCTTCACCAGATTTAAAAAACATACCTCTTTAGAGTGAGCTCAAGAATCTGCATTTTTAAAACCATCTGTTATGGTTTAGATGTGAGGTGTCCCTCAAAAGCTTATGTGTGAAACAATGTAAGGAAGGTTAGAGATGAAATGATTGGGTTACAAAAGACTTAATCTGCTCAGTATGTTAAAGTCCCCGATAGGGATTAACTGAGTGATAATGTACGCAGGTAGGTTATAACTGGAGGAAGTGGGTCATTGGGGGCATGCCTGTGGGCTATAAATTTTGTCAGTGGTGAGGGGAATCTCTCTTTAATTCTTGATGGCCATGTTCTGAGCCACTTCCCTTCACCATACTCTTCCACCTTTATGTCCTGCCTCATCTCAGGCCCCGAGGAATAGAATCGGCCATCTATAGACTGAGACCTCTGAAACAGTGAATCCCAAAATAAACTTATTTTAATAAACAGTTCTTAATAAACAAAAATAAAATTATTCTTGTCAAGTCTTTGGTCACAGCATTGTAAAAGCAAACTAAAATACCATTCACCTGATTATTCTGTACATTAAATTTTGAGAATTGCTGCTATATGTTAATCGTTATTTTGTCCAATCAAACCATGAACACATTTGATGATGAGCACTATGACTAATCCACCTCTTCATTGCAACAACAAGCTCAAGCAGGCTCCCAATAAATATGAGTTGACTAACACCTGGGGAAATACTACTGCATAAGCAGAAGGTAAAAAAAGCAAAGCTCACACAATGACTGGCTGAATCCAAAGAATGGCATTAGATCTTAACTTCGCCCGCGCGGCTGGAGTCAAGATGGAGGAATATGCCAGAGAGCCTTGCCCCTGGCGAATTGTGGATGACTGTGGTGGGGCCTTTACGATGGGTACCATAGGTGGTGGTGTCTTTCAAGCAATCAAAGGTTTTCAAAATTCTCCAGTGGGAGTAAACCACAGACTACGAGGGAGTTTGACAGCAATTAGAACCAGGGCTTCACAATTGGGAGGTAGTTTTGTGGTTTGGGGAGGCCTGTTCTCTATGATTGACTGTAGTATGGTTCAAGTCAGAGGAAAAGAAGATCCCTGGAACTCCATCACTAATGGTGCCTTAACAGGAGCTATACTGGCAGCAAGAAATGGTCCAGTGGCCATGGTTGGGTCAGCTGCAATGGGTGGCATTCTCCTAGCTTTAATTGAAGGAGCTGGCATCTTGTTGACAAGATTTGCCTCTACACAGTTTCCCCATGGTCCTCCCTTTGCTGAAGACCCCTCCCAGTTGCCTTCCATTCAGTTACCATCCTCACCTTTTGGATACTATCGACAATAACAGTAGAACTTTTTCCCCAGGATTTCTTTAACAGAATGAGCTGTGGTTCAAGAAAGATTTCAGAAGATCAAGTTGCAGTCTGTTTTTAAAACCATAGGTGGAACAACTCTGGCCAAATAGGCTATGCAGAGACATTTAGCACTTTTTTCTATTTAAAGGAACATGGAGGGGGCGGGATAAAAGATGCCACATTTATGAATTCACACTTGGATTGCATTTGTGATCAAAATAAATATCTAATATCCTTAAAAGAAAATATAATAAGTGCTTAGAAGATGAAGGACCAAAGGGCAAATAACAGTGGAACATGACCATCATTTCCTTAGGGACTTCTCTGCCTGGTTTTGTGTGTTCTATTATTCAAACAATAAAAAGCTACTGGAACTTAAAAAAAAAATCAAGATCAAATAAGTTGGAAAAAAAATATTTTTTGGTGTTTATTCTGAATGGAATCAATAATCCAGAAAATTTTACTAACTTCACTCTTTGAAAAATCAAATAAGGGCTACTTGAAACCCAAAAAAGCCCTGTCACTTGAGTGCAATGACTCAGAAAGAGACAGTGGTGAGACATCAGATGCCAGAAAAGAGCAGGGGGAGATGGCTACTGAAGAAGCCAGGAATATCCTCATTCTAGGATTTCTACACAGATGGAGATTGAAGAAAGGGGTGTGCTGCTGAAATCCAGATTGGGATAAAGAAAGAATGAGAATCAAGGTGTCAAAATGAACCATCTAGGAGCCACACAGTAAGCCACACACCAGAGAGTCACCCAGGCATCTGGCTCATTTCTACCCTGCAATCTACTTTTTGAAAACACTTGAAAAAGTGGATATTAGGATTGGAGGAGATTTTTCTAGAAGGAAAAGCGCTGAGATTCCAGTTGGTCAGTTGGAAATTTAAAGGTCACTAGTGAAATTTTGATTTAAATATGCAAAATCTTGCCTGAGTATGAAATATCTTGGAAATAGGATTAGACTTGGCAACTTCTTTCTGTTTTGCCACAGAACACATTCAGGCTTGTCGAAGCAAAATATATTACCTGCCCAAGGAGATAGGCTTCAAAATGTAATATAAATGCTAAGTTTTGACCAGATTTGGTGTAAGGGTCAATCTAATTATGATAATAACATCAAAACATTAACAGGCTATATTTCAAATTGGAGTTCTGGGGAAAACATGTTTGAACTCACTTCTGGCTATTTGTCTTAAGATGGACAGATTGAGAATTTCTTTACAAAAGAAAAGGTTATCAGCCTCAGATACATTCTATCTATGATGAAGATTAAACCCAAGAGCAAAAGGGAGCTGAGAGCTGAGGAACAGTTCAGAATGGAAATAGCTAGGTAGATACCTCCAATCTAGGTAACTAAGAGCTCCTGAAGAAAACTACTACCATGCCAGCTGATGGCCAGCATTTCTTTCCATGTGTCTATTCTGCTCCTGCTCATAATTCCATAAAAGCCATGCTCTTCATATATCTCTGACTCTCCACTTTTCCTATCACCTTTTATTGCTTATTATTTATTTGTTTGTTTGTTTTGCAGCCCTGGGGATTGAATGCAAGAGCACCTTTCCATTGAGCTACATCTCCAGTACTTTTCTTTTTTCTTTTTTTTTTATTTTTGAGAGAGTCTCACTAAGTTGCCAAGGATGACCTTGAACTTATGATCCTCTATACACTACTGCACCCAGCTCCCTATCACTTTTACCTGTTAACATTCCCCCACAAAAAAGATGGCTTTTTGCTTCTCTTCTTTCCACCCGCAAGAAAGGAATTTACCCACACCCATCCTACTTTCTTTACCTCCTATTGATGGGAGGGTAGGGAAGTTTCCCTACCCCATCCATGTTTAAACCTTCCACTCAGCCTGGAAGTCTTTTTCTTTCTCAGCCATTTGGACACACAGCTTTGGTTATTACTCTTTCTTTCTTTTATTATTAAATTATTTATTTATTCTAATTACTTATATATGATGGCAGAATGTAATTCATTTCATATTACACATATAGAGCACAATTTTTCAAGTCACTGGTTCTACACAAAGTATTTTCACACTATTCATTTCTTTATACATGTACTTAGGGTAATGATGTCTAACTCATTCCACCATCATTTCTACCCCCATCCCTCCTCCTTTCCCCTCCCTCCCCTTAGTTCTGTATAAAGTTCTTCCATTCTTCCCATGCCCCCCCTGCCCCGTCACCATTATGAGTCAGCATCCTCATATCAAAGAAAACATTTGGCCTTGGTTTTTTGGAATTGGCTTACTTCACTTAGCATTATATTCTCCAACTTCATCCATTTACCTACGAATACCATGATTTTATTTACTTTTAATGCTGAGTAATATTCTATTGTGTATATATATATATATATATACCAAAATTTCCCTATCCATTCATCTACTGAAGGGCATCTGCATTGATTCTACAATTTGGCTATTGTGAATTTTGTTGCTATAAATATTGATGTGGCTGTGTCCTTGTAATATGCTGTTTTTAAGTCTTTTGCATATAGACCTAGGAGGGGGATAGCTTGGTCAAATGGAGGTTCCATTCCCAATTTTCCAAGAATTCTCCATACTGCTTTCCATATTGGCTGTACCAATTTGCAGTCTTACCAGCAATGTATGAGTGTGCCTTTCCCCCACATCTTCACCAACACTTATTGTTGTTTGTATTCTTGATAGCTGCCATTCTGACTAAAGTGAGATGGTATCTTAGTTTTGATTTACATTTCTCTAATTGCTAGAGATGTTGAACATTTTTTCATATATTTGTTGATTTATTGTATATCCTCTTTTTAGAAGTGTCTTTTCAGTTCCTTGGCCCATTTATTGACTGGGTTATTTGGTTTTTTGGTGTTAAGGTTTTTGAGTGCTTTAAATACCCTAGAGATTAGTGCTCTATCTGATGTGCTTATGGTGAAGATTCACTCCCATTCTGTAGGTTTTCTATTCACCTCACTGATTGTTTCTTTTGCTGAAAAGAAGCTTTTTAGTTTGAATCCATCCAATTTATTGATTCTTGGTTTTAATTCTTGTGCTGTAGGAGTCTTATTAAGGAAATTAGTGCCTAATCTGACATAGTGGAGATTTGGGCCTACTTTTTCTTCCATTAGGTGCAAGGTCTCTGGTTTAATTCCTAGGTTCTTGATCCACTTTGAATTGAGTTTTGTGCATGGTGAGAGATAGAGGTTTAATTTCATTTTGTTACATGTGGATTTCCAGTTTTCCCAGCACCATTTGTTGAAGAAGTTATCTTTTCTCCAATATATGTTTTTGTCGCCTTTGTCTAATATGAAATAACTGTAATTATGTGGGTTTGTCTCTGTGTCCTCTATTTTGTATCATTGGCCTACAGGTCTATTTTGGTGCTAATACCTTGCTGTTTTTGTTACTATTGTTCTGTAGTATAGTTTAAGGTCTGGAATAGTAATGCCACCAGGTTCACTCTTCTTGCTAAGGATTGCTTTGGCTATTCTGGGTCTCTTGTTTTTCCAGATGAATTTCATGAGTGCTTTTTCTGTTTCTATGAGGAATGTCATTGGTATTTGGGTTGGGATTGCATTGAATCTGCATAATACTTTTGGTAGTATAGTCATCTTGACAATATTAAGTCTGCCTATCTAAGAACAAGGTAAATCTTTCCATCTTCTAAAGTCTTCCTTAATTTCTTTCTTTAGTGTTCTGTAGTTTTCATTGTAGAGGTCTTTCACCTCTTTGGTTATTTCTCTTTCTACTTCTGTTCATTTCATCAATTACCAAGGCTTATGCCCCAAATAGATTTGAGTCATTTTGATCTTAAAAAACAAAGTCTAACCTCAACCCATTCTAACCAGACTTCTTTAGAGAACAATCTAGACTCATTGTATCCACATTCTAACCTCCTGTTTGCTCCTTCTCAGTGATATAATCTAACTTCACTACAACTGATCTCACCAGAGTTTCTACTCACTTAGAACTGCCAAATTCACTGCTTAGCCCTGACCTCACTTGAACTCTGGGGAGCACCCAACAGATCTGTGACACGCATCTCTTGTGTTCTTTCTTCCTCTCTCTTAAAGGAAATTTTCACTTCCCTGTCTCTCTGTCTTCTTCAGTTCTTCCTCATAGTCCTAATCTTGGTCAATTTAACACTCAATCCACCCTCTCAGAGTCTCATCTACATTATCATATGAATAAATTCCAGGAACTTCCCATCTCCATTGCAAAATCTTCTCCCGAGTTCCAAAACCATATGTCCAACTGTCTGTGTGACATCTCAGACTCAGTCTGACCAAACCTGAAATAACCGTCTCTGGCTATCTCCCACTCAACCCAAATCTAGTCCTTTTCCCAGATTCTTTCCATTGATTAACAGCATAGTCATTATCCTGATCACACAAACAGTTAGGAACTTACTGCTTAATTGTGTGTGTTTGTTTGTTTTTCAGAAATACTATTCCCGCTTCCCCAATCCCCACATGCAATACCAGAATCAGTTTGACCAATTTCTACATGGAGTTAAGCAACACTTTATATGTTTTATCTGCTGATCTTCAGGTTAATGCTTGGTTTCTCTGTTCATTTACCTGTCATTATATTAGTTATTTTTGAGAAGAATACAATATGTTCATTAAAGTTAAACAGATTGAAGTTAAATATCCATTAGTTTAGCAATATGAACATAGTATATGAATCCTATAGAACTGTGGAAGTAATACATGTGATGGAGTTCTCAAGTTATCCGGTATATTCTTGAAAACTTAAATTACTACATTTTTATATAATAAATCATATCTTCTCTAACTGTATAAATTAGGAACAACATTTTCCCCTAGTTCTTATTCTGAAAATTATTAATCTTGTAGAAAAAAAAATGAAAGAATTGTACAGTGAATTCCCATGTACATAACATTTACATTTTATAGTAGCTAGTATTTGTGCTATCTTTTCTTTATTACCTATCAATCCACTTGGCTTTCTATAAAACAATCTCATTTCAAAATAGGATACAGACATCAGTGCACTTCATCCCTCTATACTTGAGCATGCCTATCATTAACTGGTTACTTGGGGTAAAGAAATTTACATATGGTGAAATCCACAAACCTTAATGCGTCATTCAAAGCGCTGCTCATTCTTGACACTTCCTTCTCTCTCCTCAGTCACTTTCTATGTTGCTCAATCCCTTCTCTTTTCCTCCAGCCCCACAGCTCTAGTTCAGAGCTTTGTCGCTTCTCACCTTCTTACGTCATGCAGTCTTTTCTATTTTCATTCATTCCCACAGCACTGTCAGGATGATTTTTCTAAACCACAAATCTTATTCATTTCCTGTTTAAATTCCTCTCTAAAGTTATTGCCCAAACATTCTGGGAAAACCTACATATAATACCCATCTTCTGGGGTTGGGGATGTAGCTCAGTGGTAGAGTGCTTGCCTACCACACGTGAGGCACTGGGCTCAATCCTCAGTACCATATAAAAATAAATAAATAAATAAAGATATTGTGTTCATATACAACTAACATTTTTTTAAAAATCTCTGAGTATGATACATAAGGACGTGATCCTGTTTCTCTGACCTCATTTTCCACCACCTCCTTACCTTCCCTACCTCTGCCCTTACTTTCCCACTCAAATATTACTCACTAAATATACAAAATCATTGGCACTATTTTGCGTCCCCACCCAAGGCTACTTTGTGTTCTTTTAGACGTGGTTCCTTCAGTCAGCAATGTCTGGCTTTCCTTTCACATTCTAGCTACCTCCTATTTACTCTTTCTTCAGATTTCACTTTTCCTGTGAGCCTAGCACCTCTACCCTCTATCAGGATTCCAGGCTTGTCCAGAGGCCCCCTTTAGAATCCCCAAAGATCATGTTCAGATGTTCTCTCCTAAGTTTTGCTCCAATGTTTGTCAGTCATCCCAACCAGTCTGCATCTCCTTGAGGGCAGAGAGAAAATCCTGCTTCTCATCCCCTCTCTCTGGTCTCAGATGCACAAATGCTCATTAAATATTCATGGAAAGAAAAGACAGAAAGAAGGCAAGGGTATTTACTAGATGTTTGAGAATCTTGAAATTTCAAGGTCAGTAGTGGGATGATGTTAATTCAAGAAAACATTTAATATAAATTTAAAATGAAAGGGGATACTCTTGCTTATATAGGCACTTGCTTGAAACCTCAGACAAACCAGAGGTGAAAATAAGACATAAACCACTTTGTTTCTTTATTTTTTTTCTTCTTTTTAATTGTGGCAAAATACATATGAAATTTACCTTCCTAGTCATTTTAAATGTATATCTCAGTAATGTTAAGTATGTTCACATTGTTGTACACGATTCACTTTTAATTGTTTAAATATAGAGTTACAGCTATCTTTTTTTTTTTTTTTTCAGTTTTTGGCAGACACAACATCTTTGTTTGTATGTGGTGGTGAGGATCGAACCTGGGCCGCACGCATGCCAGGCGAGCGCACTATGGCTTAAAAAAAAAAAAAAAAAAAAAAAAAAGGACAAGTAAAAGCATAAGGAAAGCTCTGACTCTCTTGACTCAAAGAGTCTATATTCCTGCTTAAATTACATGCAACAGCTATGCAGGTGCTGCCCTGAGGATGCACCACTAATTACCTGGCAACAGCTTCTAGAGCTGAAGGCAGAACTATCAAATCACAGCACTCCAGGGTGTTTTCTTCCAAAGGACAAGTGCATTGGACTATACTCCTGGTGTTAAAATACCCATGGGTTTTACACCTGCCAGCAAGATTCAGTCTACTTTAGATCTAACCCTGATTATCCAATTGGCTTTTTACACTGGGTATTTTTAGGGCACTTAATTTAGAGCAGCCATACAGATCTAAACTATACCTTTAATTAAACAGAACATCTCACACCTTACTCAGAAAATGAATCTTCATCCAGCTCTATATTTTTCTGGACTGTACTATCTGGTACTCCTCCAGAGCTGATGATTTACAAAAAAAAAAAGAAAGAAAGAAAGAAAGAAAATTATAATATAGAGATAGTATCTGAAATCATACAGTTGATGGATTTGTTGCATTCATTCTTACATGGTCATTTAATGGCACGGAGCAGGTCAACAGCCACATAGAAGCTAAGGAAGAGTGTGTTACCCAGCGAAGCATGTGTTGCCCCATAATATAAGCACTGTGCTACACAAAAGACTTAGAAAAGAAGTCAAAATGAATTAATCCATAGCCATTTATTGAAAGTCAAAAATGGGCTAGCAATGTATTGGTATTATATTATTAAAATTAGCATAATCAGCTCCCATATTTCACAAATGAAATTTTCAAACTAAGAAAATCTCATCAAAAGTAATATAAACCAGGAAGCAAAAAATGACAATATTTGCTTCTTCAAAGCTTGGCAAGATCATATACTGGTAGAAATACCTACAATTCACTACAGAGATAATCTCCTAAAATGAAAGAAACCAAAAGATTTGAGATGGTATTCAAAATTGGGTAATTGCCATGGTTAATTGATTGCTTTTCTTGGTATGGCTGATACTTTCACTTTTAATAATTAAACTGAACCTTTAAACCTCTCTTAAGCAAATAGTAGTATTTACTAGAAAGATAATGTGGAGAATTCATTGAAGCCAAGTGCAGAAAATACACATGGGCCACACTAGGGATGGAAACAAGAAATTGGAGATAAGAACTATGGTTACACAGTTGCCCTAGGAGTAAAGAGGCTCCCATTTCTGTTTCTCTTGGGTTGTCTTTTTAATTTTCTCCTTCTTGTAGTCAGGCTTTCTCTGCCTTAGAATGCACATGGTCCAAATACTATATTCTCAATCCTGTGTTTCTGTCCCTTCACACTCCATAGGGATGAAATAGAGCCTCTGAGATCTCAATTCTAATTCTTAAGTGGCAAAACTGACTAGGATAACTTTGGTCAAGTACCCACTCCCAAACATTTGTCACTTATGAATTTTCTAGAAGAATTTATGTTTTATTTGTGTCTCCCAAAGTTGGAAACTTAATGCCTAATGAAATAGTGTTAAAAGGTAGGTGATTAAATCCTGAGGACTCTGCTCTCATAAGTGGATTAATGTTTTTGTCATAAGAATGATCTGTTATAATCAGAGTACATTTGCTATGAAAGCAAGTTCAGTTCCCTATTTTTTCTGTTCCTCTCTTGCTCTTTCACCTTCTGCCATTGGTGAAGTAAGAACCTCACCAGATACACACACAAACACACACACACACACACACACACACACACACACACACACACAACCCAATTTGGGGACTTCCCACTCTCCAGAATTTTAAGAACTAAATTTCTGTTCTTTACAAATTACCTGATCTCAGGTACTCTGTTACAGCAGCATAGAGCAGACTAAGGCATCCTACTTTCTAGGATTACAGATGAGATATCATATTTTGTTTGTTTTACCCATGCGATTCTAAAAACACTTCAGCGCTTGCAATAGCAGTTTGATTCATCAAGTAACAAAATGAGTCACAGAAATGTGAAATAAGCCAGGCATGGTAGTTTACCCCTGTAATCCCCCAGCTCAGGAGGCTGAGATCAGAGGATCAAAAATTCAAAGCCAATCTCAGTAATTTGATGAGGCCTTAAGCAATTTAAGGACTTTAAAACAGCATATTACTGAAGCAGCCACATCAATGTTTATAGCAACACAATTCACAATAGCTGAATTGTGGAACTGCTGAGGGCCATCATTCCTACTTGGCAATGGCCCTCAGCATGGAACCAAACTAGATGCCCATCAGTAGATGAATAGATAAAGAAACTGTGATATGGGCTAGGGATGTGGCTCAAGTAGTAGTGCATTTGCCTGGCATGCGTGAGGCACTGAGTTCCATCCTCAGCACCACATAAAAATAAAATAAAGATGTTGTGTCCACCTAAAGCTAAAAAATAAATATTAAAAAAAACTGTGAGATATATATACACACACACACACACACACACACACACACAATAGAATATTACTCAGCATTAAAAGAGAATACAATCACGGCATTTGCAGGTAAATGGATGGAGTTTGAGAATATCATGCTAAGTGAAGTAAGCCTATCCCAAAAAACCAAAAGCTGAATGTTTTCTCTGATAAGTGGATGCTGATTCATAATGGAGGGGCAGGGAGGTGGCGGGAAGGTGGAGCATGGGAGGAATGGAGAAACTGTGGATAGGGCAAAGGAGAGGGAGGAGAAGGAAGTGGGGCATGTGGTAGAAAAGATGGTGGAATGAGATGGACATCATTACCCTAGATACATGTATGAAGACACAAATGGTGAGACTCTACTTTGTGTACAGAGAAATGAAAAACCATGCTCCATTTGTGTACTATGAATGGAAATGCATTCTGCTATCATGTATAACAAGTTAGAACAAATTAATTAATTAAAAAAGGAAAAAAGGGCTGAGGATGTGGCTCAGTGGTTAAGTGCCCCGGGTTCAATATCTGGT